ACTTGAGGCGTCCCTACAAGCAATATAGTAAAACTAATAAAAGGGGTCTCTAACTAATAATTAAATGTTGGCCAAACTATTAATCATCAGAAAGGGTTATGAATCAATCAATCATGCCAGATTTATCAATTAATGAAAAGTGTTATTATTTATTTTTATTGATTAATTTTTTTTTTTCACTAAAGGAGATTTCAAGCATATTTATACTTCTTAAATATTACAAATAACATGATTTTTTACATGATTTTGTCCAATAAAATAGAATGATAAATGATGACTAATTGACAATTACTAAAGTTAAATGTCAAAAATGTGTCATTGATGGTCTCATGATTAAAAGATATCTGATGAAATGTTTTTGTCATAATTAATTAAAAATAAAATTTATCTTCCTTAAAATGTCAGATGGTAGGTAGCCAGCTTCAATTTGTAAATGTGAATTCGCAATTCACAACACTTGAGTTAACATAATTTCATTTTCACGTAAATAATTAATAATCAAATCACAAATTTTTTTTTTCTTTAAGAAAATGTCTAATAATAAAAATTTAAGAATACAATCAAGAACTCTTGGTGAGGAACACGAGTAAGTGTTTTAAGGATGGTGGTGGTGGTTATCGCCACTTGTCGTTACTCTAGTTATTATAAAAAGAACGGTGATGGTTGCAATCATTGCAACTTGTCATTCTAGTTAATATGTAAACTTTTGTTTAACGCATTTTTTTTTATTTCTTTAATAAAAAATACCTCTGAAAAAAAAAAAAATAAAGAAACAAGGAAGCTTTGAGTAAGTGTTATTCATTAGAAAGAATAGTTCTAATAATGAAATTATGCATAAGAAAATTAATTCAATAAAAAAAAATTTTTTTTTTTAAACTAATTAATTTTTAAATTTTTAAATCTTTTAAAAATGGCAAATAGAACAAGAATTAAATAATGCAAAGAACGAGCACAGGAAGGCAGCAGAGAAGTTGGATAAATGGGAAGAAGAAGAGAAGAGAATGGGAAGAGGTTGAAGGGATTGAGGAGAAAGTTGAGGGAATTGAATATTCAAATAAGAGAAAAAAATGAGGAAGAAAAAAAAATTTTGGAGGGAAATAAAAAAGATTTAGAGGAGAAAATAAATGAGTTAGAAGAAGAGAAGAAGAAGTTAGAAGAAGAAAAAGTCTTTTGGAGGGGACAAATAGAAAAATGGGGGGGAGGAATTAAGAAAATTTGGCAGAGAAGGTAATGAACAAATTGCATAAAAAAATATACAAAAAATTATTTTTCATTTATTTATTTATTTATTTATTTAATCATTTGTATACTGTATACAATTTGACTAATATTTTTCTTTGATTATTTCATTTTTAATTAAATATGCAATCATGCTTTCTTTTTTTATCCATCTATAATTGCAATATTGTTCTTCTGTTTTCAAGGAATGGAAAGTGGTTAGTTTATCATTTCATTTTATAACACAAAAGAATGGATTTGATTTGTGAATGGTCATTTGTTATAATCTTTCTAACAATTAATTCACACCTACTTTGTACATTATAGAACTTATTCATACAAAACGTCATCTTTCATTTCTTGAACATGAGGTAGAAAGATTAAAGAGATCTAGGAATGATAACTCACAAATTGATACAATTATTTTAAATGATGAAGAGATTCTAAATAAAGAAAAAGTATTTGAAGGAATAGAATCAACTGATATACCACAATTTAGCATTACATTTCCAGTAAATAATAGTGAAAACCAACACACTGATCAAATTAAATCTTTTTTAGAATTGTTAATCCCACATACTCCTTATGAATTTCATGATACAAGAAATTCTCCAATAAATGATCCAACTGCAAAGATAGATTTTATAATTGTATGCAAAAATGGACAACGTTTGTGGACTGAATTAGTAATAGTAATTGAGGGTAAGGGTGACATAAACAATACAACAAGTCATAAAGAAGCAATTGGTCAAGTTTGTGATAGGCATATGGAAATTTTGAAACAGCAACGTCAGAGGAAATTTGTTTTTGGAATTGCATTGGATTGTAGACAAATGGAAATCATCAAGACAATTCGTCATACAACCCCATCCTTTTTGCATTACTGAACTGGACTTTTACCATTATTTACTAATGCAGGAATACCAGCTGGAGGAGGGTATATACTTTTGGTCAGATTGTTAAAGTCATCATCTGCTTCTCTAGGATTTACACAAGGTTGGCAAATGTGTGGTCCATTGATGGTCTATTGGTGGTCCATTGGGTCCATTAGTGTAACACTTTAACCATGTTTAGTATTTTATTAATGGCAATGGACCATCTGTTCTCAATGGACTAGTCAATTTGCCAACCCTGGATTTACACCATTTTTATTCCCAACTCTTCCCTATTTGTTTGTAAAGGATGAGCAAACTGTGAACATTGATAAAGTATCTTTGCTGAAAGAAGGGCATGGAAAGTATTCTTTCATTTTTGTTGGACATGATAAAAACACAGATGTGGAGTATATTATAAAATATGTGGGGATTTAGATCTTCTTCATCATGAACAAGGAATGTTGAATAGGTTGACACATTCATATATCATTGAATTATGTGGTAGTGGAAATTTGGAGTCTTCTTATGCAATTTTGTTATATCCTTGAGGTATTCTTATAAAATTAGCATTGGATAAGATTCAAGATAATTATCAAAAATATGACCAGTTGGTGAAATGGATTCAGCAAGTAGATGTTGGTTTTCAATATGCACATTCACAAGGAATATTGTATAGAGATTGTTCAATTGATAACTTAATTATTGATACTAATGATAATGTGAGAATTATTGACTGGGGCATATCTTGCAGGAAAGAAAACAACTCTCAAAAATCATTTACAGGAAAACCTGTATATAAAACTTTAACTAACCTGAGTAGAAATTCGTAAAATTCTTAATTGGCATGGAGAACCTTCCATGTATACATTGCTGGCAGAAGCTATAGCTTGGTTTATAATGGATCTTAATTTATTTTGTGGAATCAAACGGTTTTCTTTCATTCCAAAGTAAACAATCAATGTAGCATTTACTTAACATTCTTCAGCAGTTGTAAATCTTGTTAAATAATTCGGTAGGCATGTTTGAGTAAATAATTTGTGATATAAAAAATATTATTAGATTTGTTAATATCCATGTACTACCCTTTTTAAACGTTTTCCTCCCATATCTTCTTCTAGATCTATTGAATGAATAACCTGATGGTCAATTTGAATGCATTTACTTTTTCCTTGCTTCATTCAGGTCGGTGAAACTAATTAATTCTTATACATATTGGCCTTGCCAGATCTGTTGAGAATATTCAAATTGAAATTATTTATCTCTAGATATTCACGTGCCTCACCATAATCAAATAATGCTTTCGTATCTTGCGTGTTCCTATTTATGATAATTATATGATCTTTGTCAATTCTAGGCATGTACTTCTTCTGGATACGATTGCAGAAATCATCCAACATCTGCCAGTGAAGAACTATGATAACCTTGTGGCTATAGTTTAAAAGTACAAAATTGCCTTAAAGTCAATAATACATGGTGTCAGAAGATACGACTGGATTATATAAAAGACAGCTCAAGAGCAAATACCACCGAGTACGCAAGCTCTTTGATGGTGAATCAAAGATTTTATTAGAAAATATAATAGAAAGAGGAGGATCAGAAAAAAGAGAAAATGATGATGATAGGGAATATACATATAACAAATGTAACGATAAATTAGGGAAGAACACGTTGGTTGATTATATCATAGAAATTACCAGAAGCATCTTTTACTCTGGCACTCATAGAAGCATTCTTGAAATCTTTTTCATGCCAAAAATGTACAACATTCAACCCTCTTTTCTGTTGTTCTTCAGAAGGCCAATGTGAATTTGTTGTGATACCATCTTCACAAGAGAAATGGATTAGCCAAACCTCTGAAGGAGAAAGTTTACCAGCATATTTATACACCTGCTCAAAGTGTTCATTCAATCTTGACAGGGTTGCAGTAGCCACTAACTCAAGTATTGCTACAGGATTGGAGACTCTCCTCTCCTTTATTGTAAGGTCACAATATAAGTGATGGTAGCATCCATCTTCACCAACTTGCTCCAAGTGCCACTGTCCCATAATTTCATAATGATATACTTTAGCAAGCCAATTAAGGAGGATCCAGTACATCTTGGCATTGTAAACACTTTCTTTTGGGACTCTCACATTGGGCTCCGAATCCACCAGCAAATTATTAGAACTTTTATATGCATTGGGCAATAGTATTTTGATCAAAGGAATGGAAGGCTTGTTTTACTATGCCTAAGATGTCTATAGATTTGTTTTCTTGTAAGGGAACATCAACCCCAGGAAAGAAGGATTCCAAGGTTATGTGTTGCTTCTTTGGAGGAATGACAGAAGCATCAGTGGCTTTTTGCTTCTTTTCTATTATACATGATGCTGATGATGATGATGCTATAAATCAAGATGTGCAAAAAAATGATTAATTGAACTATAATAAAAGAATTAGAAAATGTTGTTAAATTAAAGAATTGGACTTCGATTCTTACATGAAGTATGTCCCAACATTTTTTGGTCCTCTATCCTCTTCCACAAGGAATTAGTGTTGTTCATATCAGTCTTTTTTTTATTAAAAAAAACATCAAAGTGAGAAATATTTCCCAGTAAGCATAACTAATTGAGACAAGATGGCAGGATGCAGGAATACGCCAACAGGCAGTTTTTGTTGTATGTAAAGAAAGGTGCATAACCAATTCCTTCTCCGGAACCAGTAGATCTTTACCAAAAACTTTTATTAACATATTCCATAAGGTTTACCAGGACGTATATACGTGGTAGTAAACGCATCCACTTCAGTAATTTGCAAGGGTAAAGGTTACCCCAGACTTATTGGGGCATAGGCAATAAGATACAAATACCTGGTCAAAAACCTCCATCCAACTAATTTAATAATTTCCGTTATACTTACATTTTTATTTTTCAAAATTTCTTGAACAATATCGCCAACTTCTTTTAACGTGTGTGGATCCTCTTTGATAGTATTTAAAGTAGTATAGAACATACGATGAGCCATTCTTTTATCAGCATTTTGGTAATTATCGATTATATGAGAGACAAAATGAGCAAGTGACCATTTATCATATGGAAAGAATTCAAAATACTTGTTATATGGAACATTGGTACAATTGAAAGAATTGATGCAAATAGTGGTGGCAGACATGTTGAAATTATGTGTATAGTTGTAAAGAAGAAAATCAATTAAATCAATTAAAGTAGTTAACGAAAGTAGGACAAGCAAGCTTTTGCCTTATAAAATTAAGGGAACGCGTTAATTTTGGTTGGTTGAAAAAAAAGACGCGTAAATCTGTACAGGTACCACAAATCAAAGGGAGGACTGAATCATTTTTCGACTCCACAATCGCGTTTTAAGTATGGATATCCAACTAAGACATAATAATCCAACATTGCCGTAGATCATCATTTTATATGACCCATAAATCACAAGAAACTCTAATATTAACCTCTTGTAAGATTCCTGACACCTTCAATTATCATCTATTTTTGTTAATACATCACTCGCTGCATGATCAGTTAAACCTTTAACAACGTCATACGACGGTAGATTCCCATTTTCTATCGTCAAATAAACAACTATTGACGAACATATAGCATTAAGAGATTCTTCCAAAAGGAGGAGGTTCTCAATTTTTGCAATCAAGGTGAACATAGTGTAATTTAAGATATACGGTTAATAGAAAAATTTTTTGAAAAGTTATAGGTTAACAAAAGCAATGCATTAAACGTTTTTTTTTCATTCATGCTCTATATCCAAAAAAACAAATAATGCAATGAGATAAAGCAAGAATCTAATATATTGTAATTCATTCCAGTTTGGTGGTGGTGGTTGTTTTCAATCTTTTAAAATAAGCCAATCTTGCTTTTTTCCAAATTTGTTGGGTTGCATTACATGTATCCATTAAGATAAAATGGAATCTTGAACACGTTTCCGCCAGTGCCAACAAACTGGATGGTGGTAAATCTTCACAAATTTGGACAAATATTTCAACTGGTATGTTTGCAAAAAATGCAAACTCTTTCCTTTTGATACTATATTTTTGTGATAAAAATGAGAATTCCTAATATAATAATATAACTAGGGTGACGACGAGTGGCGGGCGATAACCACCATCATCCTTATGATAAACACTTACCCAGCCAACGCATGTTCATGATCATGATTTTTTCTTCTC